CCATCCAGCCTGGTGCTGGGCACCTCCGGAAGGGATGGGAAAAAAAATTCAGGGATGTGAGAAAAACTGCTCTGAAACCAGGCACGGGTTTGGGACACGGAGTATTTCTGGACCACTTACCTGCCCAAAGGAATCCTCTGGGGCTGTGCTGGCTCCTGGCGAGGGCTGGCACCCGGCGGGCGACCCGAACCCTCTGGTGAGGGGGTGGCAGGGGACCGGGGACCGGGGGGCACACGGGACCCCCAGGTAACAGGGGGCAGGGGGCTCTGCGAGCGGCTGACCAGCAGCGCGGGCTGGGGCTGGCCACGGGTGGCCACCTTCGAGGGCGGGCAGAGCCAGATCTCGTGCTGCACTTGCTGCTGGGGGTTCCTGGTTTTCCAGGCTTGTTTGTGAGCTGCAGGGAAAACCGTGGGAGAGGGCTCAGCACCCCTGTCCATTGCACACCCCCCAGCCCACCCAGCCGTCGCTCAGCATCCAGCTCCCCCGGGGATGCTGGTGTAAACCTGTCCTCCCTGAAAAGGGGTTTTTGGGGTCTGACTCCATCCAAAAGTCTGCCGTGACCTCTAGTGGCCACCAAAGCCAAAGAAAGTCCCCAAACCAGACATTCCCCAGCAAAGCAACGAGGCATTGCGCTAAGGAAACCTCCTGCTCCTGCAAATGGCCCCAGAAGCAGCAAACCCCATGATGGACCCCCCCTTCACCCCAGCCCAGGGGCAGAGCCATGGGGTTTGGGGACACGGGGACTCACAGAGCGAGGTGCAGCGGCACGGGTCGTGCTTGTCCAGGTAGTGCTCCAGCGTGTCCCAGCCGCCCCCGACCCGCACCATGACGTGCTCCCGCAGGATCTGCACAGGATGCCGTGTGCCGTGAGGCCTGGAGAGGTGCGTGTGATGCACCCGTGGGATCCCCACCTCTCTTTAAGCAGCCTGGGGGTGGCACGTTTAGCCGGGCTTTGAGAGCCCTGGGCGTGCCCCAAGTGCCACCAGGCCCCCCCAAAGGACAGCTTCATCCCCAGCTCAGCGCCACAGAGGCAGGGAGGGTCTCAGCTCCTGCTGCCACCCTGACAGGCATGTTTCATCACCCCAAGGAGAGTGGGGGGCCTTTTGGAAAACCCTCTCCACTGTCACGTGTTTCAGGCAGGCCAAGCTTAGGGACGGCTGCAGGCAGGGGCAGAGCATCCCAGTGTTCCCATTGCTGGGTAAGACCTGCCTCTGGCTTGGCATGGGATGGCAGTTTTTGTCCCATACACATGGATGTTACATCCATACAAACATGTACGGCAGGGTCAAGCTTCCCTGTTGCCCTGCTTTGGGGGTAACAGTCAAAAACCCCACATTGGCCCCATTTGGGGGATGGATTATGGAAGAGGCTTTGTGGGAACAGAGCAGGATTCCTGGTGCTTGTGTCCCAAAAGAAGAGGGCAAAGCAAACTCACCCGGACAAAGATGAGGGTGTCAGAGTCGCCCACACGGTATTTTCCTTCAGATATCTTGATCATAGGGAACTGGATGGGGCAGGTACAGCGGCTCACCAGGTGCTGGACCTGTGGGCAGCAGGGATGGGTCCCCACCAGTGCTCCTGCGGAAGGTCATCCCCCATCCCCATTCCCATCCCCATTCCCATCCCCATCCCACTCCATGCCCCTCTGTACCATCTGGTCAAGGTTGTGGAGGTCCCGTGGTTTCCTGGGGGGCCGGGGCAGGGGGGTGTCTGCAGGTGGCAGGTCCAGCTCCTCGCGGAGCTCCTCCTCGATCTCCTCCTCCATCTGCACGAGGGTTGGGGCCCGCATGCCAAAGCGGGCAGCGCGGCGCGCCAGCTCCAGCAGACACAGCACAAAGTTCTTCTCGTTCTTCCTCAGCACCAGGTCCTCCGTCTCGAACATCAGCACGTCTGGGGCAGGGCAAGGGTGGGCTGAGCCAGGGCAGGCACATGGGGAGGGGGATGAAGGGGACGGAGGGAACAGGTGGAGTCAAAACCTCCCCGAAGGAGTATTTTTCCCAGGAGCCATCCTACTAGGAATATGGATGGGTCCAACAAGAGTTGGGATAAATTAATGGAGGAAGAGCCTTCCTCTTGAGCATCTACATGCAAAGGCACTACATGGCACCCCAAAGTCACAAAACCCGGTGGCTGGGTGAGCTGAGGACGTGTCACTCCATGCCCATACCCTTCCCAGGCAGTCACTGGTGGTGGGAACAGGGTGTCAGACCCTTTGCTCAGAGCCAGGACCACTCCTGATGTCCTTGCACCCGGGATCAGGCTGCACCTGGCAGGGCCACGCTGCAGCTTTCTATCTCCACCCCTTTAGTGCATATTTGCACCCAAGCAAACATGCCCACTGTGTGCCAGCACCCTCCAAAGCTGCTGCCAAACCCAAAGGAGCTTGTGCAAGAAATCCCAGCTCAGGAACGCATGTGCATGGTGCTGCCTGGTGCCGGGGTGACACGGGCTTGGGGAGCACATGGGAACCCAGGGTGATGCTAGGAGCAGCTGGAGGGGGACTGCACGCAGGGACACGGGGCAGCCGGAGCCTGGCATCTTACCTTTAATATCCATCTCCTTCCTGCACCACTGGATGAAGTTGGAGATGTTGTCCCTGGCCTGGAAGGTGCCCGGCTGTGCCGTGAGGTTGCAGGCGACGCCGGCGGTGGGCAGGCGGAGGTGACGGGCCATGCCGGGGCAGGCGCGGGCGAACTCCCCGGCCACATGTGTGACGTTGTTGGCATGGGAGCAGAGCACAGCCCCCGTCTCCAGCACCTCCACAAAGGTGCCCACCTCGATGTCCAGGTCGTACAGCTCCTTCAGCCACTCCGCCAAGTCCTCCTTCATGGCGTAGAGGTACTGCTCGCTGGACTGGTAGGGGCGGATGCTCCGCGCCGCGGTGCCCGTCATCCCCCACATTTTGCCATAAGACTGGGAGGAGATGGAGGGAAAGGGGTGATGGGGACATGGGTGGTGGGGACATGAGTGGCAGGGACATGGGGAGCTGCCCCGGGCCATGTCCCCAGCCCACCTCCCCAGCAGCCACACTCACCCCGTGCCACTTGCTCTCTGCCACCAGGATGGTGACACCGTCCACCCGGTGCTGGGAGCCCTTCTGGGGTCCGAGGGTTGCAATGCAGCGTGGGGAAAGGAAATCACACTCCTGGGCAGTGGGTGTTTTGTTTCCTTCCCAAGTGCTGTTCCCTTCTCCTTGGTGACAAGGGACCGGCTGCAAACACTCCCCGTTAACCCTTCAGCTCCTGCTCCTCCGCTCGCATCCCCGCTCCTTCTTCCCCAGCTGACCCAGGGGGGGAGTTTTCCCCGCGGTCCCTGGCTCCGGGGCAGGAGGGGGTTAGAGAGCAGCTCTTCAGCATCCCAAGTTGCTCACAAGCCCAAAAAAGGGGGAGATTGCCCCTTCCCCACCATCACTGCAGGTGGGGTGACCTGGGGACCCTACAAGGTGCATCTTCAGGGCTCACTACCCCTGAATTGATAGCCCTGAGGCAGCCACATTTCTGCATCCATTTTACAGGCTCACACTCCTCTGAGATGCCGCTGCATGCTGTTGCAAACCCAAACACACCGTGGCGAGAAGCTGAGCTGAGCAGGGCAGCCCCAGCATGGCTGACCCCCTAGCAGGGCTCCCTCCTCTCTGGGTGGGGTGCCCAGAGGGATGGAGAGAGGCTGACCTCAGGGCCGGTGTGAGGACCATTGAACACACCACGGGGGTGATGTTCAGACCGGTCCCTCCACATCCCTCCTGCCCTCCACACACCCACCCGGGGCACAGCAGCACCGGGGAGTCAGAAAGCCAAACCCCGAGGCAAGGGCTCCCCAAAGCTGTAGGGATTGGAGCACAGATCCCTCGAAGAGAGCTGGTCCATATGGGGGTTGGACTCCCAAACTCCTGAGCTCAGCCATCCCACACGGTTCCTGTGCAACCTGGAACATCCCAGCTGAGAGAAACGGAGGAGGAAGAAGAGGCGCAAAAGGTAGAGGGTAGTAACAGGGACACCACTGCCATTGCTTGCTCTGCACTTTCCAAGATGCAGAGCAAGGTCTGAGAGCTGAGGAGCCCTGCAACCCCCGTGGGCTACCCCTGGCTCCCCCTTCACCAGCTCCTCCCTCCTCTGCTGCACCCACAACCCCCGGGGCAGCGCTCCCAAGGAAACACCCCGGTGCTGATCTCAAGCATCTCCATTCACCCTCATCATTGCATTTCATCTGGTAAAAACACCAGTGGCCCACACTTGAACCTGGGCTCATCCCTTGATCTCACTGCAGGGAACAGACAGGTCTTCTCACCTCCAAAGGTTGGGGGCCAGAGCAGGTCCCCCCCACAAGGACCCCAGGAGCCCCCTTCGCTCGAGGGCTCGTACTACCCTTTAGTGGGAGCCGGGAAGCCCTGTACCATGCAGCGTGTCAGGGATCAGCCCAAGCTCCAAGAAAATGCAGAAGCTCCACCTGCAAATCACAGCACAAACCCATCAATCCTCCCCTCCAAAAAAAAAAAAAAAAAAAAAAAAAAAAAAGCATAAGAGGGGTTTATTGCATGCCTGCCTTTGTGGTTTCTCTGCACTGCACTGCCTTGCAAACTTCTTCCCAAATTGCCCATGATAGCAAGGTCTTTGTCATAAGCTGAGCTCCTCCACAGATGGCGTGACTCCAGGAGCTGGGGCTTTGAGTGGGCACTGCTGGGAATGTCAGAGACTCCCTCCCTAGCCCAGGGCTTGCAGAGCTGCCGCAGCACCCAGGTACTGCTACAAAAAGCAAATCTACCAGGTAGATGCTCACACCATGGGACTGAAACAGCCTCTCGTCCTCTTGGGGAGCTTCTTGCTGTGTCAGGGGACCCCGTCCTCTCTCTGGAACCAGCTGCTGATGCTCACTGCAGATCATGGTCCAGCTGGTGTCATTTTGGGGGAGGAAATGCAAGAATCCCAGCTATTCACCCTGGCTAGGGAATGCGTGGCAGGCTGGCCTGAGGAGTTGGCGCCTGGAGAAAAGGACATCATCATCAGGAGAAAAGGACACTTGTGACGCGGAATTTTCAGCCAGGGCACTCAGTGGGGCCCATCACATGACTCAGGGTGCAAGTCCACCTCCTCCAAGATTCCCCCACGCTTGTAGAGTGCAGGCGATGCAGCACAGTCACCCCTTCTCTGCCAGCATCACTGTGCCCAGTCCCAGCCCTGGCAGCAACGCTTGTGACCCCAAGGTACCCCGACAGCACACAGCCCCAGGAAACACACCACGGCCAACAAGGGAGGAAAAGGAAAGCACAAAGCCAGGAGAGGATTCAAGGTTGGCCCATCCTCAGGCTCCAGTCCCATGGCAGAAGGGATGCCTGCCTCTCTCCTAAGGACATGAGAGGGGGTAACAATCTGCTGCTTCTCTGTAGAGCTGCAGGTGTGGAGTGCCCCTGGGGTACAGGTGGACCTATAAATCCTCCCATCTTCAAAAAGTGGTACATGGAGCAGAAGTCACACTGCTCTTCTGACCCTTCTTGAAGCCCAGAGCAGATTTCTTGACAGCAAGACCTCTCTCCCAGTGCCAGCCTTCCCCATCAATCCCTCCATCAATGCCATCGAGCCCCTCATCAACCCCGTCCAACCCCTCATCACCACCACCACCACCCCCCACCC